CAATCATGAAAAATCATACCCAATCACCTTTTCGAACCATCATAAGGCATATCAACAGTCAAGCCCACAATTTGCAACATATACGAAATCAACAGCATAAACAAGGTCCATCTCGATTAGGGCAAGTCAATAATATCATACAGTAGTCCATGGTTCATCATATAGCACAAAAGTTCATACACCCTTAATCATGCCATTCTAGTTCACCTAGGTCAATTCTAAGCATCAATATAATTATCGTGATACGACAAACCCGGTATGCCGTGCTAATCCCTCACTAGTTCTGGTCGTTGAAACACCGGTTCTAGCCTCCCGTACTAAAACGTCAATTTCACGAACGAACCCCGAATTAAAATCCGAGTCCGTCCTAATATCCCCTGCAGTATCCCCGTCAATATTAGTTCTAGGCTCCGGGTCAAATTCTCGATAAAAACACATCAAACCCAGGTCGGAGCTAAATTCAGCGATTTGGACCCTGACCTAAATAATTGTCGAAATTCAGGGATTTAGAACTAGAGGATTGATTACCTCGCTGCGGGAAGCTCATATATGAAATTTGGGCTCAATCCGGCTTCTGGATACTCCGAAACCCTAATTTGGCTTATCGGGAATACGAGAAATTCCTGAACCAAAAACTCGTTTTAAAGCTCTAAATCAATAAACTACGATGAATGGATGGATTAGGCATTACTTACTGGATTTTTGGATCAGTGTAGCTCAAGAATCGAGCTACAAAAATATTTCCCCGGAGCTCTGCGTGCGGCTTTGCTTCTTCGTTACTCTCGATCCGAAAAGAAAGAAGAAGAAGATGGAGAAATGAAACGATGGGGGATTTAAATGGACAGGTATGTATATATATATATATATATAATTAATCCGTATATTTATCCGATCGATCGATAATCCAATTTTCGCCGAAATACTATCAAAATACTCGATTTTAAATCGTGTAATTTTCTAGCGATTGAAATATGGGTTTTGCCGGAACGGGATGTTACACAATCCAAGCACTTAGAAGTGAAGAGAAACATCTTACCATGGTTTTTTCCTTCATCTTTGTTATATTCCTCTTCTTAGTTATAGAGTAGTTTCCCAATTCACTTGGGTATTGTGAACCCTAGACTAGGATGTGTTAGATAGTAAGAATCAAACTCTATGTGTGTTGGGTTTGTGTTTAATATAATGTTTGAGATATTTTCATGAATCTTGAGTGTTGTTCTTCATATCTCAATGTTAGGTCAAATTGACCTAGGTGGAGGAAATCCCCCTTTGGACCATAAGAAGCTAGATTTCTTAGCCTATTGGGTAACCTCATCTAGGGAAATTAAGGGCAATCCTCAAACATTGGATTAGTGCCATGAATACATCTTGATTGGTTACTTTTCTCCGTCTGGATTAGCTTCCGAGGGATTGCTCTTTGCGATCCTTAGTCGATTAGTCGAGAGAGCTAGCTTCCTAGCTTATTGTGACAATCCTTGATTAATCGATTAAGCTGGGTTCTCCTACTAACTGCATACACTTCACAGTATATAATCACGCTCACCACACTAGAGTCACATTCGGTTCACTTTGACATGAGACTAGGGGGAGCAATACCCGAGCGAAGTTTTCTCACATTGAATTCATCATAATTTACCTTCTTTGCTTGCTTAGTTACTTTCAATTGTAATTCTTTAGCCTTAAATCCAAACCGCTCGATAAATAAAATCTTAAACGATTGAAGTAGGGTTATATGGATCACCTCGGATTGACATTTAAATACTTGCCCTATCCTACACCCTACTAGATGTTTCACTTGGCCTGTAGTCGGGATTAAATGTAGTGTAGTAGTGAGTCAAAGTACAGTGGTATCATCGTACCACTATAATATGACGGTGATACTATAGTGGTATGATTGGTATATCATAGTGGTATGATCTTCATATCATGGTGGTAGATCGTCATACCATGGTGGTATGATTTGTTGGTGAGGTTTGTAGAAATCTTATTTCATATTTTATGTTTGTTTTGCAGCTTTATTTGTTGGTTATAACGATCATCATAAACTTGTTGTGTCCGGTGGTGCTCTTTTGTATGATGAGACTACTGCGACATTTGAGTGGTTACTTACTACTTTATGGACTGTATGGGGAAGAAGAAACCAAAGGCCATTTTCATTGATCAAGCACTCGCCATAGGTGCTAGTATAAGATCTATATTCACTTAGTCTTTTCATGGTTAATGTACTTTATATAATGTAATGTCTAGGCTTAGTACGCATTGTGATTCTAAGTTTGTTAAAGAGCTTAGTTATTTGATATTCAATGTTGAGGATGAGGATGATTTTGAGTTTCATTGGGCAAAAATGGTTAAGAAATGTTTCTCTGGTAAAGGTCCAATGGGGCATGATTCGTTGGAGGGAATTTATAGTTCGAGATGTAAATGGTCAGCTTTCTGGGTTATGTGTTATTTTGTTGCTCGATTGAGGAGCACACACTTAAGCGAATGTGCCAACAGTAACATAAAGCAATATGTGCAGTGTGATTTCGGAATTCTTAAGCTCTTGAAGCAGTTTGAGAGAATGGTGGGGAATAAGAGGGATGATGTGGATTGTGGGGAGTTTTTTACATTGAATGAGTTGGATGTTTCACGATTTCCTACTAGTTGGTTAGTGAGTCAAGCTGTTGGGTTGTGTACACCGACTTTTTTCGAGAGTTTCAAAAGGATTTGATGGGGAATGCATGGTATAGTTTATAGACTGGATAAAGATTTTCTTTCAATTCAAAAAGTCTTTTGATTCTACAAAAGAGGGATCAAAGATTGACATTAGGAATGTGTTTGTTGAGTTTGAGAATGGGAAACTAGGGTGCCCATCTCGTTTATGGGAGTCCAGTGGATGGTTCAGCAAGCATCAATTGAGGGCTTATGATATATTATGGTATACAACAACTAATGTTGTTTTCAAAAGCTTTCCAACTGATATGATTTTGCCATGTTAAACAAAGGATGCCAGGTCAGGGGTTCAATTTGATTTTCCACTGAAGGCGACTGATGAGAGTTCTATAGGGTAGCGATATTGTCTAGTTAATCTTTCATCTATTACTATTATGATTGTTAGTAAGGCAAGTGAAAATGAACCCCTCTACATAAATGCTTAGTATATCATTATATGATTTGATTAAAACGATAGAACACCTAATAAGTGAATTGTAAACTTACAATGATAAAGTGTATATTTACAGCAAGCCATTGTTGTTTCTGTGTCATTCCTTATGTTGTTTATGCACAAAAGTACTCACACCAGTTGCACTCTTTAAATTCATGTTTCTTGTCATCTTCAAGAAATTGGACCATTGGTAACTCAGAAGAAATGCTAGTACTGACTCGAAAAAGTCCTCCTTTCGTATGTGTTCATATCAATTCATATCATATCATTTTAATATCAATCCAGCTCATATCATTTTCATATTATTTCATATAAGCTCATTTCAAAATCATAACATTTTCATATCAATTCATGTCAGGATCATATGAATATGATATCGGTTCATATCAAGTTCATGTCGGTTTATATCAGAATCGTATAAGTTCTACAACATTCATATCAAGACTATATTAGTCCATACTAATAGTAAATCAGTTCCTATCAGCTCATTTCAAGATCGTATAAGTTTGTATAATTTTCATATCAGTTCATATGAGTTCATATCATCTCATTTCAATATCATATCAGTTAATACAATTCATATCATTTTAATGTCAGTTCAGGTGAGGATCATATCATTCCATATCAATCATATCAAATTCATGTCGATTCATATCAGGTCGTATCATTGGATTATAAAACTTGTAAAACTTCATAATTATGAATATTCGACCTTCTTTCTCTTTTTTTCGTTGGAGCTGCTTTGACTGTTATGCTTTCCTTTTCTTGTTTCATTGGAGTTCCCTTAACTGCTCTATTTTCATTATTTTTCTCGTTGGAGTTCCTTTTATTATTTTTCTTTTCCTCATGTATTTAAAGGTGACGTGATTTCGAACTTGTTAGGGTCAGCCTTTTGTTGATCACTCAATGTACTTTGCTACTTGCACTAATTGATGTAGTAGGCATACAGTTAGAGAAGCTGAGTTCCAACAGGCGCGGTTGGGAGGACACAGGTGAATCAAAGAGCGGTTGCAGGTGAATTATAGTTGGAATAGGCCGGGAGTTTCAAAGAGTTGGGGGAGACGTATAGTTTCGCAAGGGAGAAAATTACTTCTGCTTTTCGGAAGGTTCTGACAGTTGTCTTCGTAACGCGCACCTTATGTGTAGAGGGACGGTTTAATTGGTGGTAAATGACAGGGTACCTCTTCTTGTTTCTCCATCTAATCTGAGCTATCAAACCTGCTATGGATTAGACGGATGGTATTGGGTTTTACAGAGTTTTGTAGTTCATGGTTTTGTACAGGAACCGCTCCCTTTTTAAATATTTTGAGGGACAAATTGATTATATTAAATACACGAAATCATATTACCATTCATTTATTATGGTAGCTTTCAAATGAATCCTTCTAGTAACTTTAGTGGTGGCAAATGGATTGGATTCGTAGATTGGATTAAGTGGATTGGTGGATTATCCAGGAATCCATATGGCATCCTTAACCTTGGACCAATATGTAAAATGTGGAATGTTTACGTACTAAAATGTCCTTATGAAACATTTTAGGTACCAAAACATAATCTTCCAATGATATTTTTGTATAAAAATTAAATTATAGGTACCAAAATGTAAAAAATAAAATTATAGGTACTAAATTGTAATTTACCAATGACCCATGAAGCCAATCCATGAATCCACAAATCCAATTAAATTTGGAACAAATGAATTGGATTAATTGAATATTTTGAATGCATTAATGAATTGCATTGGTGAATTAAATTAAGAATTGCCACCTCTATCTAACTTGAACATGCACATATGACAATTGACAGAGAATCTCGTGGGAAATAAAAGTGGACAGAGGGAAAAAATAACCAGCGGATGGAGCTGTTACGACAGAACAGCCATGGAAAAGGAAAGATAGAGACAACAGGATCCAGAAATGGACAAGATAAGAGGAGGAAGGAAATCACGGAGTATGCAACAGGGGGGAAAGGGGTTCTCAGACCCATTCCGGGTGCTTTACCTATCTCAATGAAGGGGCCCATTAAAGATACGGCCCAAACCAAGAAAAAGGAAACAAAAGATGGGCCTAGGGACGGGGGATCGAGTTCTCCGAGAGACGCCTCAAGGCCGAAACCCAACACCAGCCCAAGTATTTATAGCCCACCATCTACTAACGTTATTGCTGGCCCAAATGCAACCACCATCCATGTTGTGAATGTTCCCCCAATTGATAGACAGAAGGCGACGAAATCCACCCAGGAAACCCCTTCGACGGCGACCAGGACCAAGAATCAGAGCATTCGGAAAAAGAAAAGACTCAAGTCGCCAAAAAAGCTGCCGGTGACAGCCACCTCGAAGGCCTTGTAGATCTGGACTCCGGTCAAGGACAAGAGATCGAAGAATAGAACTCGCATGGCAACTCTGACTCTCCAGGAAATTGCTGCTTGGACGGGAGCGGCGCAGGGGGCCCGGGGTGAGAGAAATGAGATGTCGGAGGAGGAGGAATCCACACCGATCGAGACCAGCAAAGCGGCGGCTTCAACAACACCCATATAGCTCGGCCTGCAGCCCCTTTCTCTCTTCCTCTCTCCCGTTTTACTTTACTGTTTTTAATTTCTGTTGCAAATTTTAATTTTAAAATCATGGCGTGGAATGTTGGAGGTGTTGGTAGCAGCGCCTTCATTAGAGCTTTGAAGTTTAAGGTGCTGAACCATAAGCCTGACATTTTGATTCTTTTGGAACCGCAGATCAGCGGGGAGGTGGCTGACAGAGTGTGTGGAAATATGGGCTTCCCCAATATCATGAGGCTTGAAGCTGAAGGTCGTAAGGGCGGCCTCTGGCTCTGTTGGGACGCGGGTTCTTTCTTGGTTGAGCTAGTGTTAGCTTGTTTTCAGCACCTAACTGTGCGCATCTCGGCCTCAGGAGCTACGCCTTGGCTTTTAACAGCGGTTTATGCGAGCCCCAGGCAGTATTTGCAACGTTTTCTATGGCCCGGTTTAACTAGTTGGCTCAATCGAGTAAGTAGGTGTAGGGTTAATGGTCTGGTCGTTTTAGCTCGATTTACCTTGGATATATAGTAAATGTCATTATATTGTTCATACATATATAAATTATATTAAATTTCATCTATCATATAAGTAATAACGTATAACTTCACATCAAAATAATAGTTCATACTTGAGTCCAACATGTATTAAAAATTCAAACACACTTTGAATTCGTGATTAGCACCTTGAATGAACTGGAACAGTTTGAGGAATATAAATAGAACTCGTGATTGTAAGAGCTGGAACCCATCTTTTGTGTTTTTAATCCAAAAGATTGAAATCTCAAGATTACAATATACTTAGTGATGGCAATTTGAATTCGTCCCGCGGGTATTACCTGACCCACAGTAGTGTAGGACAGGACATGGGTATCTACTTCTAACCCACTCTGCCCTGCCACGCCCCGTTCTTGGCTCTTTATATCACAATTTCTTACAATATTTATACATATTTCTCCTATTGTGACTATTTCTTCAACTAGTTAGATTCGATCTTTCAATTTGTTAAACTGCTAAGTCATTACGAAAGTCTTACGTACCGCTTCTAATTTAACTATTACGTAAGAAATATCTATGTTTCGTAACCTTTACATAATGGGTATTAAGTAGAAAATAATTATAAAAAAAAATTAAAAAGAAAAAGAAGACACTTCAAATATAAAAAGGAAAGAAGTGTTAATATCTTTGAAAAAAAGGAAAGAAGTGTTCCTGCAAAACTTAAAGAAATCCGGCACCCGGTTGCCCTTTTTACTATTTTCGTGTTTCTTTCTTTTTCCCTTTTAATCAATTGCTTAAAGTGATTAGGACATAATTTAATGGTTCAGATTTAATCAAGTTATCTAACTTAAAATTACACCCAAGTTACTCTAGGAAATCCCAATTATTGTATTTGTACGTTTTATTGTCACATAAAGTTTTTTGCAATCCGACTCACTACTTTTAACTTGCAATTATATATGTGGACACAATTTTTTTAATAAATTAAAATGTTTATATGTTTATTATTTTATCCATACATTAAATAAAAAATCCATTAATGTCCACATAGAATTGCAAGAAATGGTAGGTTGCATAAGATTGTTACAATTGAAACTCCCATTAATGCAATTGCATTTCCATTGTCCTTTGCAATTGAATATGATACTTTGGCGCTGTACATGGGCGTTGGGCTGTGCTTGGGGCGGTTCGTGTCGTGCTGGGCACGGCGCGTCAGTTTTCGTGTCGTGCTATGCAAGCCCATTTGTTAACTTTGCTAGGCCCTGCCCAGGCCCGGGCACGGTTCGAATCGTACTGTGCCTATTCGTGCTCGTTTCATGCTCGTATTCGTGTTTAATGAAAATGAAGAGAACAAAAGAGAGAATGAAAAAGAAGGTGAAAATTGAATGGAGAAAGATAGTATTAACTGATAATGTTTGAGAAAAGTATCAAATAAGGGAGAAAAGAAAATTGGAAGTATAGCGAGTGTGATTTGACTTTGTTTAATTCTTCGTCCATTTTTTACTTATTGTAGTTATTACGTATATATCCTTATGACACTTCTAAAAATAACAAATAATTATTTTTCTACTTGTATTTTGTATAATTTGAACCTATAATTCTTTTATATTTATATTTTATCAATAATATTATTTTTGTGCCATGTCCGTTCTTATACTCAATAAAGTTTCGAAAATATTAGACCCGACACCGTCCACTTATATACCGTGCCGTGCCTTAAAGTTTAAACCCGACACAACTCATAAATTATTCGTGCTCGTGTCGAGCTGACCCATTTATTTCGTGCCCGTGCTCGTGCCATGCTCGGCACGGCCCGGTCCCACATACATTTGGCACCCATTTTTCCCACCGGTCTAAAAACCTTGCCATTAGTACCGGTTGATGTCACACCAAAGCCAGCTAATCACCGACGATTATTCTAACGACCAATATAGAGACTTTAATAAAAACACAAAATTCATTAGCCCCGTGTGAGATGCGTTAGTAGTGACCGGTGATTGATATGATCCACCAAGCAACAATATCAAAATTGACAGTGCACAAAATTGATAGTACAACAAAATTGGGGGAGAACGAGGGAGAAGCTCTCAATGTAGCGAGGCACATCACAAAGACTATCCTTTTCTAGCTTTCTCATCAATGGCATTACCACTACACAACGGCACCAGAAGCTAAGAACAATAGGATAGAACCAAAACCAAACATGTGTTGGTTTAAATTAAAGCACCCCACTGCTCATTTTGCTCTGCAGGAAGAAACAGTCCAAGCACATGAATCCGTCACGAGGATGGGTTTCTGCTTCACCAGGGGCTACTTCAAGGAGGTCCATTTGAAATATCTCGAGCGGCCATACATGAAGCTCACTGGGTGGATGTAGAGTTGCCACCTGCAACCCAGTACTGCTTGACTGCGACCAGTATTTTCTCAGGAACAAGAGGACCATCTTCATGGTCCATCATTTTAGTATCCCATCTCATTCCTCCTATTATCTTCTTCACCTTGATTAGTACATCCACTTCATCTCGGATTATAACTGCACCTTCTGGTCGCAAAATCCTGTCCATCTCCAGAAGGATGTCCTCTAGATTACACCTGCAATTTACAGTAAACAGGAGATGAGGTGGTATCAGCACGGAGAATGAAGAATGTAAACTAAATCAACAATGGTGCTTTCACAAAAGGGAAAGAACAATGTGACTTCGACAAAAGAGCAACAGTAAACCAAAGATGATGGCATGACTGGTAAAGAGCGGACGAACTATTTACAGAATTCAACAATAACTGAAAAGCCGATACTTACTTGTTATTGTACAGACTAAAAAGACCATTGGCATGAATCATATCATAGGACCTTGGGTATGTAGAGAAAGCCTCACACCTATTGACAAACCAAAGCGTTTCAGTACGAAACCCTAAGGTAATGAATAATCCAAAGAAAAGTGAAAGACACAGAAAGCTTTTACCAGTCATGATAGATTCCAATCAAGCCTCTTTCGTATATCACACCCAGTGTACTTCTCTCAGCTATAGATGGAACAACATTCATAACCCACAACTTTGGAGACTGAAGTGCAGCAGCAAATCCTCCCAATCCAGCATTCATGTCCATTATGTTCCTGTACCTTCCAGAATCCAAAAGTCTATTGATTCTTTTATAAGCTTTGACGTGTTTCTTCCATTCGTTACTGTCCTCTTGGTATTTCTCAGCTGAAACTCCACGAACAGAACCACTAGAAACTCTTGGTGGAACAGCATAAAGCCTTTCAGGGAAATTTTTAAGTTCTGAGCTGCTGGTATCAGGATAAGGTGTGACACAAGCCTCCATCTTCTGGTACCTGGCAGCCACCAAGAACAAATGTTAATCTTCATTCACAACTAAGATGAAGGGTACATTTGCATCCACTTAAAAATAGAGTTGCTAGTAAAAAGAAACCTTCTCGAAAAAAATGTTTAGTGTACCAATCATTTAAACCTAAGAAACATCTCACTAGAAAAAGTAGGTGATGGGATGTAGACAGTTTTGCAAGAAATCCATAAAGAGGTCGAACAATTTCTTCACTTTCGAACTGACTTTCCTTAATTGTATATTCAGAGAAACATACCAGACATCATCAGGATCAGAAGATTTGCAGAAGGTAACTTGAGATTTATCTTGTTTACTATGGCATGAATCACCATCCATTCTCTTTTGCCAGATAGCAATTTCACCCTTTTCGTACTTCTTCTCCCAGCAAAGCATTTTGGCAGCCTCTTCAATCTGCCTTTGCTCCTCCTGAAGTTCTTCCTTAGGACGCTGCCATGCCTTGTAGTTAACCTTCCAATGGATTGGGGGACCCGAAAGAACCCAATACCCACCCGGTCTAAGAACTCGGTCCACTTCCATCAAGTATTTCCCATCTACAGAAAGAAGCCAATAACCAGGTCTAAGATAAGACATTAAAAGAAAAACAAAGAACAAAAATAAAAAGGTAGCCAAATGATGCTCTCACCGTTGGCACCCCATGGTATCAAGCACCGAGAACAATGAGCCATGTCGAAAGCTCTGGATGGATACGGCACCTTTATAGTACCGAGAACGCCAATCACAGCAGGTACACCTCTTTCAAGAGCAAATTGAACCTGTGCTTCATGCGAGTCTCTTGGTGCAAATGACATGGCAATCACATTTCTGTTCCATAGGTAAGCACCCAAACTAGCAACCTAAAATTACAGAGCAAAACAAAAAACAGAAATAGATCCAAATATCAGCACAAGAAACCGATGTTGCTAGCAAGAGAAGGAAGGATATTTTACATACCCCACAACCTGTATCGAGCAATGTTCTGACTGTTCCACTCTTAATTGGTATAACCGATGCCAATTGATCAATGTACTTATCAGCGCCTTGTGGGAACTGCGTCCCTCCACCAGGAAACCTAAACACATTACCCTCATACTGAACCCAATTCTGAATGGCCTTCTCAACAGTCAAGCTCTTATAAGGTGCATTCGCATAAGGGACATAATCACGACTCTTAGGCCAAGGGAACGGAGTCACGTAGCCCTTAGGAGCTGGTATTAGACAATGCAACTTCTCTTCCTCTGGGGGACAATGCCTCTCCCTGTATATCATGTTATCCCTAGGGAATGTCATGGCACGCCTCTGGTCTTGACAGGGGGTGTAATCGGTGTACTTTGGATCGCATGGTTTGAAAACTTTCTTCTCTGTTTCAAAACTATCCACGGAGGTGATTTCACCGCCATGGTGAGTTTCGAAATTGAGACTAGAGATAATGTTGCAATCCCCCCCAGTGTTTTTGGTGATTTCCATGGCGAGATTGTCTGCTTTCCCAAACCCACTCCTCTGCCATGCTCCCAATATGTAGAAGAAACAGCATAGCCCAGCTACTATGAATATCTGGATGGAACTCCTAGTTCTGTTATCAGCTAAATTAGGCTTCAAGGCCATTGTTACTGGTTATCCCCCCTGAAAATCAAATCATAACTTAACAGATCAGCTGTCAGTTTGAAGTTGGACAATTTCTGGAACGAAATGTAGCACTTGCCCGATCAAAAGCTAATCCACGTAGATCATTGCTAAGAAGTCCAGTATAGCAATGTTAAAAGCAAAAAATTCAAACTAACTGAGAAAGGGGAAACTGAAGGCAGACTGATCATCTTTACCATAACCAGGAAACAGGACATAAAGACAGGATGGGACTCCGATGGTGAAGACCAAATCAAAAGGCAAGTACAATGATCGGGGAGGTAGTGGGGACTACTGGAATTCGCCATTAATGGGGATTAACACCATCCACGGTTGAGAAATTAAATGGATTCAGCAGACAACAGTACACTAAACGATCCTTCAAATTTAGCCATTAATTATAGAAAACTAGAAACAGAAGGCGAAATTACATAGTTGAAACCAAGTGCTCTTCATTTTTAAGAAAAAGAAACGATCTTGCATATAATGGGCAGATAGGTAGTTGGATGCTTACCAATTGCGAATCGCATAAAAAGAAGAGGGTAACCCCCAATAAAATTTAGATTAGAAAGGTTGGAGCAGTATTCTTCAAAGATCTGCTCCCTCCCACCAATCAAAGGAAAAAACCAATCTCCAAGATGTGAGCTTTCCAATGTAGATTGTGCTCGGACAAGGAACAATGAAGAAAAGAGTTAAGCTTTCGGAGCAACGAGAGAGAGAGAGATCTCAGATGGAGAGGAAGCTAGTACGTGGCAACAAGTATCTGAAGAACCCTAATAATATATTGAAATGAAAAGAAGCTCCTCCGATCTATCAACCCAATTCACTCACAATGTGGAAGAACAAGAGAAAATGAAAAGTATAATGAAAATGGAAATGGAAATAAATAATTTGCTTTTCCTTGGCGGTGTATGTATTGTAGTGAACGCGACTGTCTGAAAGATGTGAGCTCTGTGACAGAGAATAGAAGAGATAGACGGGCAGAGCAGAGTTCCCACTGGGAGTAATTAACAGTAAGTAAGCGAACAAGCCGGCCAGCTAGAGCCAGACCGCATTGCGTTTCTACTTTCTAGTTTCTACCCTTCTCCTTTATTTTATTTTATTCTATTATATTTTTTACTATGAAGTCTGAATCTGAACAGTTCTCGTTGGTGTAATAAAAATCTGGGACGATTCTCCTTTGGGTTACCTATCCTGATTTTAAGATGAAATTACTAAAATAGGGTTTTCGTCTTTTCTTATGTCGCTAAGTTATCCCTTCACCATCATGGAAAGTCGTTGTCGATCGAAATCAAGTTTATCAGCCTGCGGTTCAACTGGACGATCCGAACAGTTCGACCAAGACCTGATACCGCAAACGAGTGGCTGCTGCCCAATTGAAGATTAGCCCGGACCCAAGCATCGGGTTTAGGCGTGGAGCGACGCCGTTTTGGCCAAAGGAGGATTTCAGCTGAATGTTGATCCCTCTAAATTTTGATTCCCCTCCCATTCTGAATTTTTCTCCAATCACAAACCCTAGCTCATCTCTCACAGGCGACGACCTAGCCTCAGCGCAATCCGAGCAACCGGCAATCTCGTTCGCTTTCATCGTTAGTGCGCCTTCTCGCAAGCATCACCTGCTCTCGTCTTCGTGGCCTGCTACGGTCGGGCACTCAAGTCGATTCGCACGCTACAAGCGACCTCTCACATTCTCGTGAAATTGCGCGCTCCAAGGCGGCCACACCTACTCTCAGCAACAACGCTCGCCAGCCCACAACCCCAGCTAAAGCATACGACTACGGACTGCCCTGCTTTGGATCGACCGCTTGCCTCACATTTTTCTTGCTCGACTCGCTGACTCGTCCCGAATAACACAATTTAAATCCTGACTAAGGCCCAAGTATAAACCCTAGACGAGTGCAGTATAGGGCAAGTATGTTTTAAGGGTCAAACCCGGGCCGGTCCATATACCCCTACTTGAACTGTTTGAAACATTATCTAGCAATCGATTTTTGGTTAAAACTATGGACTATAATTAAAAGCGATTGGAAATGCAAATGGTTTTGATCACTAATTGAGAAGGCTTCACTCTCCCGGTCGTTAGGCCAAGGGTTATCAAATCAAGCTACCAATGTAGCTCTCTTGGCCAATCGACTAAGGGTAGCTTAGGCTTCTCCCTCAAACCATAGTTCGAATGGTTGACTCGCCTGTACCGTCACACTAGAAAGTGGCCAAGTGTAACCACCTACTAATGCGTAGTATAGCTCGTGTGGGCCACTGACATTTGGACGCACCGAGCGCGTGAGGAGGAGGTTGAGGATGTGTCATTGAGGTCGAAGAGTGGTGACATTCGTCTACCCGCACACGAACTGCTCCTCGAGGGAATCCGGACGACAAATCTGGTGGTAGAAGTCGTTGACGCGGAAACCAGGTGGGTTAGTGACCTCCTTAACGCCATATCCGGGCGGATATCTGATACCGAGGGCGCGGATAAGTTCTGTCATGCTAATCTGCCGCTCCTCCCTGCCTAACCAGAACGTGATGGCATTATTCTGGTCAATAGGTGCTGATGACCGAAATGAGTAGGAAGTGTAGAACTCCCACACCAACTCCTTGTAAGTGGGCTCCTAAACAGACAGGAGCGTAGGCCAGTCACGATGGGAAATCGCGGCGGCCATCTCGCCGTGGCAGTGGAGTGCTCGGAAGACGTCAAAATCAAGGTGCCTGTGGGGCTCGAAGTGGGCCGCCAGGACCTCCTAGGACTTCGACTCAGCCTCGCAGTGGGCGCCACATGGCTCAAGTAGTGGTGGTTACGCGACATGATCCTGCAAAAGAGAGTAACCAAAGGTGGAACCACGAGGAAAACAACGTTAAAAACACGGTCAAGGGGACGACAATTCCCCAACATTCAAGAACCACTTGGTAACAGGTAAGCACAACCAAGCTGCTTTGAAATTATAGAAACAGAAAACCGGCAAAGCAGTCTAAGTTCTAACATAGATCATGGCACAACTGGGGGAAAACAGACGAGCATCCTCAAAATTAAGTCAATAAAGCCACAAGAAAAGTCGTCCCTCGCCCTAAACTAAAGCAAGCATGCCAAGCAATCCAGAGTTCTCAAGCCTAGCATTTACAGTCTGATTTTCCAGAAAAAGCAAGGAAAAGTCAAGATAAGTAGGAGCGTAGTGGAAGGTGAGAAGAGGGCGAGGGATACGGAATCAAGCCAAAAAAGTGCCCCGGGAGCCTCGCCGAAGACTCCCCTGGAGCTTCGCCAGTTGCGGTCACAATCAGTCTGTGAACTCAAGTGAAAATAGGGCACTTTTGAAGAAAAATTGACTCAACCTATTCCACCATGCCCCCTATTCGATCACCACAACACTTGGCACGGGCACGGGGACACCACTTCACCACTCGAACTCTTCACAAGACACTAAAACGAAAACTAAGGAAAAGAAAACAAACCTCTGTTGGGTTGCTTCCCAAAAAGCGCTAATTTATCGTCATTAGCTTGACGGTTGGGGATCGATCACGACTTCAAACATGATGCCACCGAGAGCGGATCCACCACACTCTCGGGGTGAGGCTTGTAGCCTCCCATCTTAGGCTCCTTGAGTTGGCCCTCTTGGTTGGCCAACATTGCTTCGCCCTCCCCCATCTTCCGGGATAAACGTCCCTTCATCCTTCGTCTCCAAGCATTCATCCTCGATCATTTGGGCATAGGAACCTTCTTAAATTCCTACTCAACATCACCAAAAGCAACACAAGTAATGGTGGGGTTTGCCTTGAGAGGCTTTCCTCCACTCTCATTCACATCATTTGAAACTACTCCCTTCACTTCATCACTCCTAACCTTAGGGTCAATTTCAAGCTTGATTCTCTCCTTACCATCCCTCAAAATTAAGGTCCCCTCATTAACGTCTATCAATTGCTTGGCAATGGCAAGAAAGGGACGACCGAGGATGAGTGGCATATCCGAGTCCTCACTTATGTCAAGAATCACGAAATCGGTCGGATAGCAAAACTTGACCACTCTCCCTATCATGTCCTCCACAACACCCCTCAAGCTAATGACCGAATGGTCGGCTAAGGTGATGCTAAGCTTAGAGGTCTTAAATTCACATACTTCTAACTTTTTGAAAAGCTTGTAGGACATCACATTAACACTAGCTCCTAGATCGTCCAAGGCATTGTCTATATGATGGTTACCAATATCAAGAGGGATAGTAAAGCTACCTGGGTCGGACCGATTTTTGGGCATGCGGTTAAGGAGGTAAGTCGAACACTCCTCGCCAAGAGTCACGTTGGCGAGGCCTTCAAGCTTTGTCTTCTTGGTAAGTAATCCCTTAAGGTGCTTGGCATATCTTGGCATTTGAGCCATGGCTTCAAGGAAAGGGATGTTGAGGTTGAGGTTGCGGAGGATTTCCATGAAACCTCCACACTCGTTCTCCAACCTCTCCTTGTAAATCCTTATAGGATAAGGAAGAGGTGGTGTTTACTCCCCCATAGGCGATGCCTTCCTTGCCGCCTTCCTCTCATTAGTCAAGGGCTCTTCTCTCCCTTCTTTGGGTTGGTCTTTTCCTTGTTGTTATCTTCCTTCTCCATCACCTCATTAGTGGCAACTTTCGAAACCACCTTCACACTCCTCACTAGAAGTGCATTTACCCCGGCATGGTCCTTGGGGTTTTCCACGGTTTGGGAAGGTAAAGCTCCCTTGCCGATTTGCACCTCCAAGCTTTGGAGGCTCGCTTGATCGCTTCGGAGACCCCCCTCAACCGAGGTAAACTTGGTAGTCGCCACATCCATAAATTTCTCTATCTTCTCGAACTTTTCGCTACTCGTACTCACAAAGGTGTTCACTAGGTCTTCAAGCTTAGATAGCTTGTTTGGTTGTTGTTGTTGTTGTTGTTGTTGAAACCCTAGGCCACCTTGTGATTGGTACGTTTGTTGGAAGCTTGAGCGTTGAACTTGGGGCCTTTGTTGGATGAAGGTCGGCTGAGTTTGGAAATTTCCCATTGGGCCTTGAAAACGCGGGGGCCTTGGATTCGTCGGTGATGACCAAGAAAAGTTGGGGTGGTTCCTCCATCCGGAGTTATAATTATTTCTATACGGGTTGTTGACCCTAGCATTTGCCCCGAAGTTTACTTGTTCCTCCGGAGTGGTTGCCTACTTCATTGCTTGACACTCCGCCATCTCATGACTGGTGCTCGGGCACTAGTCGCACGACATCACCGACCTTTTTCCTTGCCTCTTATCTTCAAGCATAACCTCAAGCAACTTATCCAACTTCGCCTCAAGCAGAGCACTCGCTCCCACGCTTCTCACTCCCCTATCATTGCTTCTCCTCCCACTTCTAGTCAACCCCCAATTGTATCCCCTGAGGGCCATGTCTTCTAGTATCTCGGTTATTTGGGGCAGAGCCATATTCATCAATTTCCCATGACACAAGGAGTCAATTAGGATTTTATCTTCTTGCATTAGGCCTCCATAGAAGGTTTCGATCCGAAACTGTTCTTCAAACCCGTGGTGAGGGCACTGAAGAAAATAGTCGGAGTACCTCTCTCAAACATCCCTCAAGATCTCGTCCTTTTCTTGCTCGAAATGGTTTATCTTCTTTCTCCACTCTTCCGTATTCGAAGGCGGGCAATAACGAGCCATGAGGCGATTGACCGAGGTGGGCGATTGGGGTGCGAGTACTGACAATGTCCTTGAGCGTTGCATTTTGCTAGGTGAGCAGGCATCTCAGGAGCTGCAGCTGGAGGAGCAGTTGGTAGTGCTCGAGCATGGCAAGTTTGTGGAGGTCAAAAAGCCATTCAAGTCGATCTCATCCTCGACCCGTATCACCACCTCTCTTGAGGAGCCACCAGAATTGGAGCTGAAACCCCTCCCTCCTTACTTGGAGTATGCATTTCTTCGGGAGAGGAACAAGCTTCCAGTTATCATCAGCTGGACCCTCACACCCGTGCAGAAGCCCAGACTGGTGGCCCTGCTGAAGCAGTATGAGTGAGCTATGGCATGGAAGATCACTGATATCCAGGGGATCAACCCTTCTTTCTTCCCACCAAGGTGGTGCCTAAGAAGGGTGGGATGAGTGTGGTCCCAAATGAGAAGAATGAGCTCATTCCGATGCGCACGATGATCGGGTACCGCGTCTGCATCGACTATCGCCGCCTCAACGACACCACCCGAAAGGATCATTTCCCTCTGCCATTCATTGATCAGATGCTCAAGAGGCTGGTAGAGCACAATTTCTACTATTTCCTGGATGGGATGTCCAGGTATTTTTAGATTCCCATAGCACCGGAAGACCAGGCGAAGACCACCTTCACTTGCCATTTCGGCACATTTGCTTACCAGAGGATCCCATTTAGGGAGTAAGATCTCCAAGATGGGGATAGAGGTGGACAGAGCCAAGATTGAGTCTATCAGCAGGCTACCTCCTCCCACATTTCTAAAGGGGATCCGCAGTTTCTTAGGCCATGCAGGGTTCTATAAGAGGTTCATCAAGGATTTCTTGAAGATTTCCTTGCCACTGACGAAGCTCCTTGGGAATGATGCCCCCTTCCATTTTACTAACGCGTGCACAGTAGCATTCACAACCTTGAAGGAGAA